TTATTGTTCGTCACGAATATTGCAAAAGATAATAAAGCTTCAGAAATGTCAACAATAATAACAGTAATAGTAATAAGAATACATCATGAAAGTAATGACAATAAAATACCTGTGTAATTCATGAATAGCGTTCAGTGTTTGCACAGCGAGTATAATTGATGTACTTAATGAGAAGTGTCTATTTAATTGTTCGAATCTTAACGTTTGCAAATCCTTACCCAGTAAAGGCATCACAATGAACGTATATTCTGGTTTTTTATTACCCTTAAGTTTATTTTCACTTTATTTCATTGCATTTTTATTCCGTTCCATTTTGTTCTCTTCAGTTTATTCAATTCCATTCATTCGGTTCAACTTAGATTAACTTCGCTCAATTTTATTTACTTTATGACGGTTATTCTTTAATTTCTCTTATTTCCTCTTTTATTGCATTCAGCTTTTATGTTTGTTTTATGGGTTACCAAATAAGGAATTCTTACTGGTTTTATATGCCTTCTTTATTCAACTCATTTTATAAGCGCCTTTATTAGTTTTCTTATCGTTACTAAGATCATTTCTCATTACTTCTCGTGACGTTTTCTTGGTATTTGACTATGATAAGTTCTTTTTGCACTCTTTTCAAGAAATGATTCGGTTTTCGTCGAAATAAACGAAAGAAATGGCACCCGCTGGTTTAATGAAACCGTTACGTACAGAATTCTATTGTTCAATTGTTCAATTCAATATTCTCTAGCAAAATCCTTGATGTAACCTGATTGTTAATGTGATTTTGAGATGAAATTCAAAATGAGATCACAATTGAGTCACTAACGTAATCAATGATTCGACAGATGTGCTCACAGTTACGTCTCTCTGCAGCAAGCATAACGTCTGCTTCAATATTCAACGTTGATTTTCGATACTTCTCAACTTTTATAGCGCATTTTCTGAAATTGATGAATCGTATGATCCGACATTACTCCAATGATGAACGCGAACAAGTTTCATAACCCCAACGTTCTGAGGAATTGTCTTCCATAGAAGTCATTCGTTTTATTGAATTCATTCAGAACAGAGTTGGGAAGGNGACTACTTTTTAACTGTCACGGAATAAGGCAAACAAGGTTTCCATTCAGGAACTGAAATTGCTATTTGAATCACCTCTTCAGATGTTCACTCTCAAAAACGATACCGAAACCACCTTGACCAATTTCGTCTAGCAATTTATAGGTGAACGAATCCGAACGGATTTCCTCGTTAACAATCGGAAGATTTTTAAAAGATGCGGAGCCATCTGTAGAATTTTCAGATGTCATTGATTCGACGATTGAACTTTAGAAACATTCAATGAACAATGAGTCAGGTTAGCGATGTGGGGAAGTCAACCAGTCCACAAATTCATCAATGATTATTGCAAGATGCTATGACCACCCCACACAACTAATCAGTCAGTACAAATCGTGTATGAATGAATATTTTTCCTCTTAATCGAACTTATTCGGATTCATATCGGAAAAAATTTGAATTTCATATTCAAATATAATTCTCCGTCGTTTTAATTTTTCTGCGAACAATTGCAGAATTGATTCGTAACCAATCGCTTCTCTTATGATCACCTATGTATTTATTTACGACTTGATGGAGTGTGTAGTATTCGTTTGTGGACAATCGCATCGAATCGCCTAAAATCTTGTTATCCAGTCCCATATAATGTTACAATGTTGTTATGTGATCTTACAACTATCAAAATAGTTTTCTTTGTTCGCAAAAAGTGATTCTGTGCTTACCTGTCGCTATTAATAAACCAATGTAACGTTCAATAACTCGTTTCAAAATTTGAAAAAATGGCAACGATATAAACAGTATGGATTACATTGTCAATATGAATGTATCATTTGATATATGCTTTTCGTAGTATCATAAAGAAAATTCTCAATAAATTTCCAATGCAAACAATGAAAAAATACAGATGTATATATTGCACATTTTAATTGCAAACATCCATATGAATTGAACATTAGCATATATAAAACAACCTTTTAGTGTTATGTGTACCTTTGGTATTATCTGCCTGCTGCAGTAATGTTTAAATAAAAGTATGAAAATCGTTGTTTGCATTTTCTATTAATATATTTGAATTTCATGAGAATCGTGTTCTAAAATGGCAATAAACCTTTCAAGTGTGAGTGCATGTGATTCATCAACTCAATGAGTACAGCTCATCGAGTT